TAAGCATTGTTGTTGGTTTGTTACAACGTTCACAGTTCGGCATGCAGTGACTTCAGCACTTTTCAGACATTGGTGTACCTAATGTAAAGCTGCAATAAAAGTGACAATTCAAAATAGTATTTTCTTCAAATTGTACTTGTACTTTATTTCTCAGGAACAGCATTAAGTTATTTACATAGGTCAAAGGTGCCCCCTGGTCCTCAGTCTCAAGAAAATGACATCACGGCAAAGTACCCTCAGTTGTCTGGAAAAGCATGGACAATTTAAAATGTTTGAAGTTGTGCACTTTTCAGTAAAACTAAACAAACAAAAAACACTTAAAATGATTAGAGTAGCACAGAATAGGTTCCTAAGAACTACATGTATTCACTTCATGGGATTTGCCCCCTTACTCTGGAACAAATGCATATTGAAAATCAATCATGAAACACAGATTCTTGTTGTTTGGACAGTTTTGGACACTTACTTAGCCTTATTAGACTTTTAAAGAAAGTCAAACACGTCATAGACATCAGACAATAACAATAACAACCATGCAAGGAAGAAAACCTAGCTAGGCCTAAACCTACTTCATCGGGTGATGAGGACGCACATGTTTGATGAAGGCAGAAGTTGTCCCTGCCTTATCGCTGATGCTGGTTCTTGTTGGGCAAAAAACACAAACTGCGACATGTTTTTTTGCCTCCAGTTTTGGCATCAACGTAGTCTTTGTGGTCCTTGTACGCATACAGTATGATTGCCGAATTGGCAGACATGACTCAAATTAACTCCAACGGTGCGTAAAAAAGAGCAAACTTTCTCGCAAGGGTCATTCCATGTCAGACCAACGCACTTTTTTACCTCATGTCTTCCGATTTTGATAAAAATTGCTGTGCTTGTAGGTCCTGATGAGCAATGAATGCACACCAATTTTTAGCCCGATCCGACCTAACATGTGGTCAGGGCAGAAACCATAAAAAATTGACATTTTTGGAGTAAAATACCACCCTTTTGATAGAAATACGTCAAAACCATATCAATTTTCATCGAATATATGCGAATTTGGTATTAAAATAATAAGAATTGAGTGCTCAAATCAACTTTTTTTGTCAAAATTAAATTTTGTGAAAAGTAGGTCACGTGACCATTAATAGGTTAACCTGACCTTTGACCCAATTTATGCACTAATGTATCATTCCGAAAATCAACGAAATTAAAATGACTTAATAGAGCATGTCTTCCTTCATCAGAATCCACTAAAAATCAATTGGGGTCTTCAAAATTTACAGCTTTATGACTATTTGTGTACAGTTGGTAGGTTACAAATTAGTCAATTTATAGACTTTACATTAGAAATCCACCAACACAACTTACTCTTCTGTTTATTAAGCTACTTAAATTAATCTGGGTTTGTGAATTTCTCATGTTTAGGGCTGATGAGGTCTAACCAGACTCATAATATAAATTATCAGCAGTGGCGCACCCAGGATTTTGCTTTTGTGTGTGTGGGGGGGGGGGGGGCCCTCATAATTTGTTTGGTTTCAATTTTCTGTAGAAGATTGAAAAAAGAAAAAAAAAAAAAAAATCAAACAAACAAATTGGCAACCTTGGAGGGGGAGGGGGGGTGGGGGGTGGGTTCCAGCCCCTCGTGCCCCCTTCGTTGCCACTGATAATTAGTTATCCCAAGAGTGCGCTTTGAATTGAGGCCAACCCCCCCCCCCCCCCCCCGGGGTGCCACTGATAAATCCCCCGAGCGCGCTTGGAATATGAAATAGTGCAATGCTGCTGTGACCCATATGCCACCCGACGCACTACATTATTCCGTGTTCCACGAGCGCAAGTAGGCTGACGAATTTATCTTCAAGCAAACTTGACGTCGAATGCTTGAGAGTCAATTGTCATCAGATGTTACTGTTTAGGGTACGCAACAGCTCTATGCTTTCTACCTGGATCCAGTACAGGAGACACACATCTAGGTGAAAGTTGTCTCGAAGGAAAAAATTGCGAAGTCTGTGAGACTCATTAAATTTCAAGAAGCGCAGTGATGAATGAGTAAGGTAACTTTGATTGCGATATTGAGTATTATCTTCAAGCAACCTTGAATCCAAGACCCTGATTAGTCCATCTATAGCGACAACAATGTGATTTGATATAATATTGCACAGTATTGCAACCCAGATATCGAATGTACATGTACATGTATGTATTGTGTTGTTTTTATTTGCTGCTGAACGGTACATCCCTCACCACGTGCAATGTACGCATTCGACGTCAAGTTTGCTTGAAGATAAATTCGTTATGGCTGGTGGAACATGGAATATTGTAGTGGATCGGGTGGCATATGGGTCACTGCAGCATTGCATTGTTTCATATTCCAATCGCGCTTGTAGGATAACTAATTATCAGTGGCACGGGGGGGGGGGGGGGGGGGGGGTTGAGGGGCTTAAACCCACCCCTCTCCAAGGTTTTCAATTTGTCTTGTTTGATTTTTTTTTCAATCTTCTACAGACATTTGAGCTATGAGCCCCCCCCCCCCCAAAAAAAGCCAAATCCTGGGTGCACCACTGCTGATAAATTATATTATGAGTCTGGTTAGACCTCATCAGCCCCAAACATGAGAAATTCCCAAACCAAGATTAATTTAAGTAGCTTTAGAAACAGAATAGTAAGTTATGTGGGTGGATTTCTAATGTAAAGTCTATAAATTGACTCATTTGTAACCCACCAACTATACAAAAATAGTCATAAAGTTGTTTTTTTTGAAGATCCCAATTGATTTTTAGTGGATTCTGATAGAAGACATGCTCTATCAAGTCATTTTTAATTTGTTGATTTTCGGAATGATACATTAGTACATAAATTGGGTCACAGGTCACGATAACATATTAAAGGTCAGGTTACCTCCTTTTCACAAAATTTAATTTTGACTAAAAAAGTTGATTTGAGCATGCAATTCTTATTATTTTAATACCAAATTTGCATATATTTGATGAAAATTGACATGGTTTTGACATATTTCTACCAAAAGGGTGGTATTTTACTCTAAAAATGTCCGTTTTTTGTGGTTTCTGCCCTGACCACATGGTAGGTCGGATCGGGCTAAAAATTGGTGTGCATTCATTGCTCATCAGGACCTACAAGTACAGCAATTTTTATCAAAATCGGAAGACATGAGGTAAAAAAGTGCGTTGGTCTGACATGGAATGACCCGCAACCGAATCAGGCACGCATGCTTCCCACATACAACGTTCGTGCACTATCCTAGAATGGTGCCTTGCCAGTCAAGTTCCAGATAAATCAACATTGCACACTACACGTGTCTAGTTACCGGACCACGCAATATGTGACTACGGGATACAGGTACCGGTTGCCCTGCAAACCATGCATTCAATACACATCTTTTAAGTGATGGTAACCAGTGGCAATAATTATTATGTGGCTGCGGCTAGTCACCATTATGCGTATAATAGATCATGCACAAAGGCACAAGGTATCTGCCAAAGCTAGCCTTAGCCAAGTCAAACGTAGTAGTCAGATTATGTACGTCAGTGCAGCCGGTACGACGGTCGCCAGAACGATGGAACATTTACGGCGGTATTATTCTGGCGGCATTTGGATTTCGTTAGCAACAACTGCAAGTGCATTTTTGTATTGGTCTCGTGCTGGTCTCGGCCCAAAATTCCAAGAACAGTAGGTGTGAGACCAAGACAAGTGTTTTTTTCCAAGACCATGCGCGGTCGAGACCGAGAACACGTTCAAACTGGTCTCGAGACCAAGACCAGTCTCGACGGCTACAACACTGATATTTGTGAAGAAGTTATTTGAGAAACGATGCTAATTTCTCAAAACAGATTGAAGCACCCCTTAAGATATAAATGGATCTGTCCATAACGTTTTGGCACCTTGCTGATTTTTTTTTCAAAGAAAAACGCGATCCAAAAATTGGGATTTTGCGTTACAACTTGTTACTGAAAATATAAATCCGATGACTGTGGTAGTCTGTTTGTTTTGGACAATAACAGTAAGCACTTTTTGCCACAAATCACACATTTAGTGCTCCAGACATGCTCCAACAAGACGGAACCCGACCGGTGTGTTGCTTTCTCAATAAACTTGATCGTAGTTCGCCAGTGTAGGGTGGGCTAGCCGGGCTGGGAAAGGTAGCAATTCCCTGTGTTTAGTTCTCAGTGCCATCATCTATAATTTCGGGGTTTTTGTGACGTAAAAAATGATGATTCCTCCTTCAAATTGTATTGTACCATGTGGAAATAGCAATCGCCAATCGGGGGCGGATCCAGGGGGAGATGATTACACTTTACAGGGACAGGAAAGATGTCAAACTCTAGACCCCTTAATTTATAGAATGACCAATACTAATGACAACTTTTTCGGGGGTGGCAGGAGCAGTTTTTGCAAAATATTAGAAGAAACTTTGAATAAGTCTGTTGGTAATACATTTCACATTTAAATGAAATTCTTTGAGAAAGATCGGTATGTCATGTGTCAGCACATTTTCATTTGGCTATAGCACGGGAGTTTGGGGAAAATTGTTCCTTACAAAGTACGACTGCGAGTAGTAATAAAGATATCTTCTTCTTTTTTTAAACTCTATCGATCACATGGCGATTATTAAGAAACGTTTTTTCCTTAGCCACTGTTTATGAAAAATAATCGGCTACACTGATTTTTGTGTGAAAAACATACCTTGTTTCAGAAAAAAATTTAAAAACAAAAAACAAACGACCTAGCCATTCTAAATTTCCCAATGTCAAACTGCTGGTACTTACATCACGCTTTATGCTTCATGCGCCGCAGCACCTTGTAAAACCTTATAAGGTGCTACCTAACAGGTCTCATGGCTCTTATGTACTTCATTCACCTGTTTTTAATAATAAACATAACTCCCAGAGCATTGAGTACCAATACTCCATTGTGTTAATGCCTAAACAGGTTTCTGCAACATAGCCATACAGATACAAATATAGAGAAAAAATTTTTTGAAGAATAATGTAATTACTTACCGATCCAAGTGTATCAAGTTCTGAAGCTTCTGAACTGGTATACTCATCACCACCATCACCACTATTTGCAGAATGCGACAATGACTTGGGAACATGGAGGCTCTGGCCACTCCTTAACGAATCAAAAACATAATTTGAACATCATGAAATGTTCATACTATACTATACTGTTGGTCATTAAATGTGATGGTTAAAACCATTAACCTTGTGCGGTTCTGAGAAGAACCAGTTGTTTTAACTCAACCTTTCAAACAGTGTGCTCTGTTCGTCATCAGGAAACTGATGTTACCACAAACCTTCCATTCACAGCTGTTTTCCTTTTCAGTCTTATTTTTATATGCCAAAGCTGAAGTCTTTGTAGTATTAAATATGAAGTAACATGATATAAGATTTTAGGCTTTCCATGGTGGAGTATCAGTATCATTTCGGTTTGCGGTAACACCATGTGGTGATAACTACTGTTGCTCAGTAGATATTTAGTTCTGATAAGAATAGCCCTGCTTAGTTCTAAAAGAACTTGTCTTTGGTCTCAACATTTAGACGAGCCTGCTCTAGTCTTTACTTATCAGAACTAAAAGTACTTAGTGACAGTTGATAATAAGCAGGACATGTTCTTATTAGAACTAAATATCTACTGAGCGACAGTAGTTATTAGGAAGGAAAATGAATGCCTCCTTGACAATTCAGGCAAGACACTACTGATGCGTTGTACATTTTCACCAGTGTGAAGTGGTTCAAAACCATTCTTAGCATGCACTGAAGGGCCTTGAGAAAAGTAAGAAGTTCCTAGTGGTTGATGCGCAGGAGTTCCTCTGTTAGAGACCAGGTTCCTAGAGCACCTCAGTTGAGAGAGAGAAAAATAAACATGGGATCTGAGAAAGAAGAAAGCATGGGATACTTTCTCCAGAGAAGCTGCCCACTGTCTGTCTGTGGAATGAGCTTCCTGTTGAGCTGAGAGAGATGGACTTATTGTCTTCTTTGGAGCACTTGTCAGACCTTCCCATTCCGGGACCCAGTGTTGTAGGTCTCGAGACCGGTCTCGAGACCACTTTTTGCTGGTCTCGGTCTCGGTCTCGGTCTCGGAAGCTGTGGTCTCGGTCTTGGTCTCGGTCTCGGTCCCCTTTGGTCTCAATATTTTGGCTGGTCTCGGGTCGAGACCGGCAATATGTAGCTTTTACAGCTCGATCCATTACTTTGTGTTCACTTCGTTCAGTACCGTTGTTAGTTAAAACATTTGCTAGCCCGTAGATCAAGCTTGTTATATATCGTGGTCGGTTTGGACTTGACTGCACGTTGGAAAGTCCCCAAAGTACATGTAAAGCTGCAGCAGTACCAGTCACTGAACGATTTGGAACAAGTTCGGCATTTACTGTTGAGTCGGGCACATAAAGCAAAGTATAAACTTGTAACAATTTATGCAATAAGGGTCAACCATTTTCGGGGATTGTGTAGTTTAGCCCACCCCTGTGGGCGTAATCACTTGCATTTTGTATTCTGATAATAAATGAGGTGCTTCAAATTAGTTATATTTTCGACCCCACACAATGTTCTCATTAATTTGGGACAGTAATTTGAAGAAAAATTAAATTTTTCTACCTGATTTTCCAGCATTGAACTCAACACACTCTTACCAGTTACCACTCACTGTTGCCATGAATGTGTATGATGAGACCCCATTTTCTGGCTGCTCATTTTGAAGTACCCCATTAATCCTCAAAAATTAAAATCCCGTTCAGAAAAAAAATAAAAATCCATATCTGGCACATTCTGGCTACCACCTCGCAACTTGCGGGTCTACATAATTATGTACAAGTCCACATTCTATGACAGAAATTTAAAAATTAATTCAACATTTTCTAGCTCCCATTTTTTAAAAATCAAGTACACAAGTCTTGTTAGAAGTTAAGTCCTATATTTATTTTAGGAAAAAAGAGGCACAATGTAAAATTAAAATTGCATCTTTAAATATCCGTTAGAAGTCATAGCTGAAACCAAGGGGTGACTGTGGAGTTTAGGATCCGAGTTCCTATAACAGATGAAACATCTACCTTTAACTTTTTTACTTTTGTCACGATTGGGTGCAGACAACATGTCAAAGCCCATATTTCTTAAGTGTAACTACTTTTTGCTCAAGTAAGGTGTCATGTATCACTTTGTCAACACTGCCACTGGTCAAAATTTTGGTCTGTATTCTTTGTGAATAGAAAGGTTACTTTTTCAACTATAATAACGTGTCTTGTTTTTTTATTTCGACTATTGTTATTTATTATCAGCGGTCTCGGTCTCGGTCTCGGTCTCGGTCTCGGTCTCGGACCATATTGGTCTCGGTCTCGGTCTGCCTTGAATCTTCAGGTCTCGGTCTTGGTCTCGGTCTCGGACTATCCGGTCTCGACTACAACACTGCCGGGACCATTCTTCAACTGCCTACTTGCTCTGATTACAATTAATTGGCTGTTTCGGCAATTGCTGAAACAGCCTTTGTTTCTGTAAAGATTTTATTATTGGCTTTTTCGCAAATTTGCAAAAAAAAAAAGCCTTTGATTTTGTTCGATTTTTTTTTTTTTTTTTTGCAAATTTGCAAAAAAGCCTTTCTTTTTTAAGATTTGGTTTTTGCTTTTCCGTCTAGTTGTGGAAAAGCCTTTCTTTTTGTTCTCATTTTTGTTTGTTTCTTCTGCTTTTTGTTGTCTAAATCCCATAGACCTTGTACACGTTTTTTTTCAGTGCCACTTTTGGCATTGATCTTTGTCATACATCATTCAAGTTAGCATAGTCATAGTCCCCATGGAATATAATAGCTGTGTCCCAAAGAGTGACGTCATGATTGCGTCATCATGGGTCACGTGAAGTCACATTAATAATTAATTTATTTAATCTTTGAAAATCAATAGAAATTCAACCGTGAGAGACCTGAACTTGAATTTTGCGGCAATTGATAGAATAATCCTCATAATTTGAATGTGGAAAAAGATGTGAACTTACTTTCAACAATGTTAGTCTCTGGCTAGGTTGTACTTCACACAAAAAATACCAGTGACGTCATAAAATGTTAGAGCACCCTCTAGCGGCAGGTTGAAAAATGTATAAAATGAAATTTCAGTTGATGTCTGTGGTGAAGTTTGCGGTAATCACTGTAAAATGAATATATATGATGACCCACTATGCAAACAAGGCCTGACTGTTGACGTCAAAAATGTTGACGTCATCAGACAGGAAGTTATAATGAAAAGACCTCTTTTCCTTTGAAATTCCCAAAAAATGAACCCTGACAGAAATTAGCTTGATTTAGCTTGTTTTTATAAACATCATGGTGACACACTTCTGATTAATATCTGCTGCACCTACACCCAGTATATTTATTTTGTTCCAGCTACGTTGTGGCAGAGACTATTTTCACTGTGTAGTCCTAATTGTTCCACTGGATTTCATTCCACAAAGTCAACGCTCTCTAAATGGTCCAAATGTGGAAAACTTGTCTTGTTCTACCTGGCCATGATCCTCCAGAGGATATAACAGTATATATGGACATATCAGTAAATCCCACACCTAGCAACATCAACTGTCATGACCGCACTGATCAAGAAAACCACGTTAGACATCGTTTCCAATGCTGTGATCTTTTGGCCATAAAGGCTAATTCCAGCCACAAAATCTTGCCTGATAGTGTCCTGCTAACCTTACAAGAACTTGGCATAAAAACAATGCTATAGAGGCTGCACAGCAGGTGCCCATCCCCGTAGACATATCCCCACACGAATAAAAATCCGCTCTGATGTATATTTGCATCGAAATATACTTCTAACTGACATCACTGTACCAGAGGAGCTTAAATGTTTATGGGTAATGGTTCAACCTGAGCGGCTTCCCTGAGGAGTGTCAGCTTTTAAGGGCAGTGTTCCCTGTATATATTCCACCTGACTCTCCCCACCAGGACTTGCTTCTCGATCATCTAATCAACTCCACTGACATTCTGTGTACAGCTTACCCTGAAATTGGTTTTGTCACAGCAGGTGACTTTAACAGATCTAAAATATATACGCTTGTAAAAGGTAATGGCCTGAAACAGGTTGTTAAATTTCTTACGAGAGCTCAAGCCACTTTAGACTGATAATCACCAATATTGACAGTTTTTTTGTGAGCCAATATACCACCAATAGAAAGAAGCGACCACAACTGTATCGTTTTAAAACCAAGTAATAAATCTGTGCCTAACAAAATCAAGAGGCACATTGTTAGGCCTTTGAAGGATTCCGGCATCAAAAGCTTTGGCTCCTGTATTCAAAACCAGGATTGGGCTGATATGCATACATGCAACTCTGATGTCCAAGGTAAAACCGATGCCTTTCACCGGTTTTTGAATGAAGCAGTTGATTCCCATTTTCCTACAGTAACCAAAAAAATCTTGTTCATCTGACAAACCATGGATAACGCCGAAAATTAAGAAACTGATTTCTGATCGTCAGGCTGCATTTCCTATTGGTGTTTCCTATCAATGGCGTCATTGTGCAATAAAGTTAATGTGAAATTGCAGATGTCAAAATTAACTTTCATGCTGAAAGAGTTAGACATCTTTAAAAAAAAAATTAAAAATTCTAAAAACTGGCACCAACAGATTGAAATCATGACTAGAAACAATTCTACTGAACTCAGCACACATGTCCCGGGGTATGTGCAAGTAATCACAATGGCTTTGCTAATACTAATAATGATCAATTTGTCAATGTGTCATCTGGTCTTACACCATTGGACATTTCAGAACTGCCCGCCTTTTTGCCTGCACCTAAGCCACCCCCTCACCTGTACCCATAGGAAGTGTACACCGAGTTAAAAAAGTTAATTCATCTACAGCTACAGGTCCTGATTGGATACCGCCTAGACTCATACAAAAATTTGCCTACGAGCTTAGTGTTCCACTCACGTATATCCTTAACAGCTCTTATTCTGAAGGAATCGTTCCAATTCAGTGGAAAAAGGCAATTGTTATTCCCAAAGGCAATTGTTATTCCCAAATGCAATTGTTATTCCCATTTCTAATCAATACAAAATCAACCTTGAGAGACCTGAACTTTTGTGGGAATTGATAGAATAATCTAGGATCTTAATTTTATCTCCTCT